AATACCATGGTATACCATCTGACACTAAGTACTGTATCATGGTACTGCCACTGTAAATCAACTAATATACTTCTCGTGTGTGTTGTGAAGTTGCCAAAGGAGAAGCTTGTGATCAGCGTGACACTAGGGCCCGAGTGTAAACACAACAGTTTTGCTTGGAACTTCCCATTTTATCCCCATCTGATTGATTGAAATATAAAACATTAAACAAGAGCGCTTTGGGAGCATGTGGCAGTTTTTGAATCTTCTGGATACAGATCATTTGGGCCACATGACACGGCTGGACGATCCACACCTGTGCGCTCTGAGACCTGCGACCGGAATGAGATCAACAGAGGAGCAGAAAAGCTGCGGATGGCGAAAACACTTGTGCAAACATCTGTGAATGAAATCTTTGGAATAACAACTCGGTTTGCACGAGGCTGCTTGTACATAGCTGAAAGATTTTGAATACACAATCTAAGATGTTTTAATTTGGTTTGGAGTTTGTTAGTGCAGCAGGTCTGTAATTGTTGGACTGCTGCCCTTGAACCGTTTTTGAGAATAACAATTGTGTCAAACATCAGCGTCAACCATCAGTGCAGCTAAAAAAAAAAGTCAAAGCAATAAAAATAAAGACAAAACGGTGAATGTTAATGTGCTTATTTGAACAATATGGGAAATTTGAGAAACACAATCCACCCAAGTACGAGAATTAAGCATCATTGCTTTCCTAAAATGCGTCACAAGCCTTAGTAAATCATGTTGCATTATTTATTTAGATACTTTCCGCCCATAAATTTTGCATCTGAAAGGGAAACTCCTACAAATGCATATGCAATAAGGTCAGCCGCAAAAATAACTCTCCACACTTTTTCAATGCTGAATGTTTCATTGCGTGTCTTTAGTAAATCGCCAAAAGAGGGTTTGCACTGGTGCAAACTGATAGTAAATCTGGCCCAAGGTCTTCTTCCATAGTCTCAGGTCAATCTGATCAGCACAATATTGAACAAACTCACATGTGGTGGTAAAAGAATCACAGTGAGCAAAATTCCATGTGAATTTAACGCTAAACTCCATCTGATATCAAAATATTCCCCAAGTTTCAGTTTCGGTCACCAAACAAAACTGACAAAAGTAATGATTGTTTTCAAACAGATTTCTCCTCCTGTCTGCCATTTTTGGCAAAAACTCACAGTAATGCTTGGATGAATGTTGCTAAAAAAGATGGAAAAAAAGATAACATTAATCTGCTCTTTTCAACAATGTAATTTATAAAAACACAATCTACCCAAGTTTGAGAAATGAGAAGTTTCGAGGTACAGAAGCTTTAGTTCTAGTGTCACTGAAATATATGCTGTATTTTTTTAGTTGGGATGTCCCGAGCTGATCTCAAGGATTGGTATCGGGGGCCCATTAAGCAGTTTTTTAACTGATCGGGATCAGCTATCCTGAGCCCGACCCTTATTTTACGTCAGCTGTCATGCCGTTGTCTTGCAGTAGGAGCCGGTGTGCATCTTCCAGTAGGTTTGCCAACCGGCCTTAAAAGCAAAAGAAGGCGCTCAAATGTGTGTGTGACGCATGAGAACCAGTAGGTCTAATCTAGCACCTCACACACACATTCGAGCTTCCGTGTTTAACATATTTTGATGTGCACCTTTGAACGAATCACTAGATAGTCATTTATATACTGTTTACTTTTATCTGCTGTCAGACTCTCCGAGACGTCGTTATCATAACGCGTTGCTATAGGTTGCATCTTGCTTTGGACTTGACTGACAGACTGGCATTCTGACACCATGAGCTTCATGCTTTCTAACCTTATATATTACTTTTACTCTCTGCACAACTCTATACACTGGATTAATTTGAATAACTTTAATGTACTTGTAAAGGACTAGGAAAATACAAGTATTGGATCGGGGCTCGGTATCGGCAGTTACTCAATATTCATTGGCACAAAAAAACCTGAACGGGACATCCCTAATTTTTAGCATTGCCACATTATGTCTTTTTCCAAGTGGCGAGCAGTGACCTCTTCAACCGGGTATGCTAGTGTAACATTAATTTATTAGAGACCACAGATAGAAACACCATGGCATGTGTCGATTTTCACATTGATTAGTTCAGTGCTTGTCAAACCTGTCCTGGGACCCCCAACCACTGCACATATTGAAGGTCTCCCTCATAGGCCACACCCAGTTCAAGTCTTGCAGACTCTACTAATGAGCTGATGAGTTGCATCAGGTGTGTTAAATGAGGGAGACATACAAAATATGCAGGGTTAGTACTGGATTAGTTTGCTCCAACATGTTGCCAAATAATGTGTACTTTTAAAATACTGTATCTATGCCAAAAATATATCAAGTTATGTTTTTAGTGGACTTTCAAAATTTGCTTTTTGAAACAACAACAACATCATACACTAAAAAATGCTGGGTTAAATATAACCCAGAATTTTTTAGAGTGTAGCAATAGAGGACTCTTGCACCACACCACTGTTGCACTTCACCCGGACTACAGTTCCCATCATCCGTTGCACTGACTACACACACAGTTGATTGCACACAGCACTGATTGCACACAGCTGTCATCAATCACATCTTCCCTATATAACACTCACTCTGATCCCTTCCCTCTGCCGAGTATTGTATAGCGTTTATCACTCTCATAACGATAGCTACTCTACGGAGCCTGTCTAGTTTGTCCATAGCCTTATCTTAGTCTTGCCTTGTCTGTTTTCTCGTGTCCTGATCTTTGCCTGTTTTCCTGGATTTATCCCTCTAGTCTCGCCCCTGTGATTCTGTCTGCCGATCGTTGACCTATGCTAGCCCTAGGACTATTCTTGTGTTTTGCCCGCCATATACTTGTTTGCCATTGTTCGACCCCGCCTGTTATGACCACGTCTCTTAAATAAAAGCTTGCAGATGGATCCACACGTCTCACATCTCGTCAGCCCCGTTACAGAATACTCGGCCATACAAGGACCCAGCAACTTTTCTGAGGAACATTGGCCAGGTATGGACACAGCAAGGATTTTGTTAGCCCTTAGACAGGGCCCACGATCGCTGGAAAGCCATATTAGAGAGTTTTTAGCCATCGCTCACTATTCTGATTTACCAGACTGTTTATTGATAGAGTTTTTCCGTGATGGCATAAATCAACCTCTTAGGTCTCAACTTAGACACAAGGGTCCACGTTCATCACTCGCTCAGTTAACGGATTATGCATTTTTGACTGTTGGATCTTTGTTTACTGTGGGTGTCGCGAAGGAAGAACGCGACACCGTGTCTGAAAAGGCGGCTGTACCAGAGCATGCTCACAAAATGGCGGCAACAGCGGAGCCTGATCAAAATGGCGAACACAACAGCGCCCCTTTATGTCACAGCTGATCTTCATGAATCAAGTTAAGTTACTGTTGATCGTCATGAGTCAAGTCGAGTCACAACTGATCTTCATGAGGCAAGTCTAGTCACAACTGATCGTCATGAGTCAAGTCTAGTCACAGCTGATTTTCATGAGCCTAGTCAAGTCACAGTTGATCGTCATGAGGCAAGTCAAGTCATTGCTGATCTTCATGAGTTAAGTCAAGTCACGGTTGATCGTCCTGAGTCGAGTCAAGTCAAGTCATCGCTGATCTGCCAGAGCCTCGACACGTCTCAGCTGTTCATCCAGAATCACGTTGCATCATAGCTGATCATCCAGAGTCATGTCACGTCCTGTCTGTTACACCCAGATTCTCAAGATCAGCCCTTCAGTATCCCAGTCTGGTATCCAGTGTGAGGGATGCACCGCTGGTGTCTGCATGCACAGCTGGTATCTGCACGCACAGCTGGTATCCCCAAACCCACTCACTCTAACCCTTCTGTTCATGAACTCATTCCCCTGTCTGCAGCACTTCCCATATGGGGGGTTGCTTTATGGTGTATCTGG